TATTTAAAAATAAAAATTAAATATATATTTTAAAAATGAACTTATTCTATAATATTGAGTTATAAAGCATTCTTTAAGAAATTCCTTAGAATTTATTAGAATAATTAGAACATATTTTAGATTAAAACGGTCAAAATAAAGAAAATGATTAAAATTCTACTATTTAATAAATATACTAAGATTAGCTAAGACTTACCGAATAACATATAATTAAATTAAAATAAGTATGCCTATATTTAGGTAGATTAATATGTGAACATAGAGAATCAGCTCTTTAAGAAATTGTATAATTACAAAATGAAATGAGTTAATAAAATGATTAAATGGAAATTTAAACTCAAACTCTCGAACAATATTACGAAGTGAGCAAAAACTAAGAGGAAAGAATAAAATAATTAATGATTTAAAATTAGAATTAAGAAGAATAATTATATAAATAATCAAATAAAATAAAAATATAAAACTAATAAATAGATTTATTAACAAATAATATAAATGAATAAACTATATAATTATTGTATAAAACATGTGATTTTTGTTTACAAAAAGAAAATTATATATAATAAATTAAAGAAGAAAAATATACTTTATAAATGTAATTAGATAAAAATTAATAAGAATTGGAATAATTTTCAATATAAAATAGTTAAAAAGATACCCTTATAAAATAATTACAAGATAAAAATTATTAAATGTAAAACGATAAATAATTCTCAAGAAACGTTTCTTAGTCTTTAATTAAAGAAATAAATACAATAAGGACTATTACTCAATTAGAATTGCTTAGTTCTATTGTTTAATTTGAATATTTAGGGAATAATACAAAAAATTAACACAATGTAAGTATAGAAGGAGATACTTCTTTTTAATAAAAATAATAATGAAATTTCATTAAATAAAAGTAATTATAAAGAAACAAGGATATAGAGAAATTAAGTTTATTAAAATTAAATAAATACACTGAAAACTTCATTTTGTTAATTAAAATTTGATAGTTTTGTTAGTTTCACGGAAGAATAATTTCTTTTTTAAAAAAATGAATAATTGGAAACTATCAACTCAGAAGTTTATTTTCCTACTGAAGAATCAGAATAGATTATTAGTTTTAAAAAATAAAATCCTAAAATAAAAAAACAATAAAGTTAAATATTATAGGATATTTATGAAAAAGAGCCTTAAAATAATGTTTGTTATTTTGAAAAAAATAATTAATAATAAATTAAAGAAAAGGGTCTTTTATAAAAAATTAAATATTCTATGTAGAAATTTATAATTAAATCTATTATATATTTAATCTTATTACCTTTTAGTTTATTTTTTGTGAATTTTTATAAAGTATGATAGTCTTAGAATGTTATTTTATTTATTTATTTGCTATAAAAAATATTTATACAAAATTACTATTATATATATTTTTTTATTCTAATAAATATACTAATTTTTATAAAAATAAAAAAAGTTATAAAAATTGTATAAATTTCTAAAAATATAAAAAAAAATGTTATAAAAATTATTCTTAAAAGAAAAATTATTTTCAAAAAAAAAAATAAACAATGAAAAAAACCATAAAAAGAATATAATAAATTAAAAATATATATGTATTTTAAAATATTATATTATATAATTATATTTAATGAATTAACAAAAAAATATTAAATAGAAAAAATAAAATTAAAGGAAAGGAAAATATTATTAATAAAATAAAAAAAATATACGTAAATAAATTATAAGAAAAGAAAATAAAATATATACAAAATAAAATATAAAAAAAAAAGAAGTAATTAAAAAATTTTTAAAAATGCATACTTACGATAATTATAGAACTGATTCAGACCGATTTGGTTCTTAAAACATTCTGAAAAGCGCAAGACAAGGATTCGTTAGCAAAGTGTTTTCAATAGTAGCTGTTTAATTATTATTTACATCACTTTTTGTTTTCATAAGCATATCAAGTCCAACTTTTAGACAATTACAATAAACAAATTCATATTTATTAAATTTGTCTTTATTTTCAACAATAGGAATCTCAATAGCCCTATTTTGCTATCCTGGGTTAAGTTAGAAAGTTCCTTTAAATTATATTTTACTAGGAATATTTACTTTAGCTGAAAGTTATTCCTTATCATGCATATGTTTATTATATGATAAAAATATAGTATTTTAAGCTTTCTTTTTGACGGCCTGTGCTACCATAAGTTTGGCTTTATATGCTTTGAAAACTAAGAGAGATGTAACAGTAGTAGGAAGTACTCTTTTTATTTTACTTTCAAGTTTTGGTATAATTTCTTTAATGAATTTCTTTTTCTTTAGAAGTAGTATTATTTATGGTCTAATTTAGTATATAGGCCTTGTTGTATATTCTTATTATTTAGTTTATGATATTTAACTTATTATGGGAAATAAATAATATTAAATTTCTATTGATAATTATATTTTGGGATCAATTATTATTTATTTGGATATTATTAGAATATTTTTAAGAGTATTAGAAATTCTTAGCAAATTACAAGAATCGGAAGATGATAAAAAAAAAAGGAAACAAAACTAGTGAAAGAAAAAACATTTATTATTTTATATATATTATAATATAGAATTTAGTTTTTTTTTTATATATATATATATATATTTAAATAAATATATTTGCATTTTATCATATTATTAAATAAATTTAAATTTTTTTTATTATTATTTCCTTTATTTTTATTTATCAATATAATATATATAATTTTTTATTTTATATTATATTTTTAAATGTCTTTTTTTTTTGTTTTTTAATAAATTATAATTTTGCTTTCTTTATAATATTTATTATTTATTTAATTAAATAAAAAAAAATTATTTTATTTTTATACTCATTATTTATTAATATAAAAAAATATAAAAATGAACCTTAGTTTTTTAAATAGTAAGATTTTTTATTTTATTTTATGATTAATAAATAAAAATTCATAATTTAATATATAATTCATTAAAATATATTAAATGATTTAAAACTTATAACTATAACTCTTATAAATAACATTAAAAAAATAATCTTATTGAATAATCAAAAAAAATAAAGATAATATAATACTTATAAAAATTTACAAATATTAATTTAAATAATTTTAATAATTAAAAAATAAAATAAAAAACCATAATATCGTTATTTTTTTGCTTGTCAATGTTTAGAATCGTATTTGGTGTTAAAGATTATTAAATTTGCTTAGCAAAAATAATAATAAATAAATAGGAAATATTTGTTGATAATAATAAAAATAACATTATTAAAGATAAAAATAGAAAAAAATAATAACAATGAAAAAAATAACAATAATAATACAAATAATATCATTAATAGTAAAAATAATAATAATAATTAAAATTAATGTGAATTAACAAATTGGTAATAGAAAAATTTATCAATTTATAAGTTTTATATATTTTATTTGTAAATATATATGGAATAGATATTTATAAATCAAATTCAAAATATATATAATATATTTATTTAATTTATGTTAATATAAAAAAATAAATATAAGAGATTAAAAAATAAATATAGTTAGGCTTTAAATATAATAGAACCTTAAATTATATTTCAAAATTATAATTTAAAAAAGAATACATTTTTATTTCATATATTTATTAAAAATAATATTATGATTTTATAAAATTAAAAATAATAATTATTATAAAAATATTTTAAAAGTTATATAAATAATTTAAATAAGATATGAATAAAAATACAATATATTGAAAAAATTAAATTAAAAAGACTTATCAAGGATAAAAAAAAATTAATATATTTATATATATATATATATATAATATATATATATATTATATATATTATATATTTATATATATATATATTTTTATTTATTTATTTATATATCAATAAAACTAATTTTTCAAAGTAATTTATTATATATATTTGTTATTGCAAACAAGATACAAGATGATTTAAAAATTAATATTTTTAATAATAAACCATATTTAATTTTTAAAATATATTATAATTTCTAATTTAAAATTAAATAATATAATATTTAATAATATTTTATACTAAAAAAGAAAGGATAATTATTAATATAGTAGCTTTATTTATTTTTCTTTCATTCGAAACATATAATTAATACTGAATATCTAGTCATAAACATTAGGTAATATATTATTGTAGATATAAATAAATATATAATATTAAAAATTGTAATATTTTAAACTTTCATTTTTCCGAAAGATTTAATTAAGTTTCTTAGTTTTTATAAAACATGAATTTAAAAAATAGACATTAAAATAAAATGAAAATTTTTATGGATTAAAGTATATAGTTTAATATTTACAATAATTAATTTAAATGGGATATTTATACACTATTTTTTATTATTTTTATTGTTTTTTTTTTATTTTTATTATTTTTTTTTGATATAAAAAATGTAATTTTATATTTTTTATTTTAAATAAAATTTTATTTATTGAAAATACAAAATAAATATAATTTTTTAATTTAAATATATGTATAATTTATTTTATTAAAAATAAAAATACTTATGTTTATTAAAAATAATAAAATTTTGATAAAGACAAAATTAGGTCAAATTATTTAATTAAATTTAAAAATTAGTATAATTAAGTTCAAATTTCTGATTAATTTAAAATATTTATTTAAATATAATTAAAAAAAAATATAAAATGTTTAAAAAGTTTTATTAAATTTAATAAATCTAATAATTATTTATATAAATATATATAAAAAATATATATTTTATTTTTATATTATTTCCATATTTGTTTTTATTAATCATGAAAATATAAAAAAAAAATATTATTATTAAAAAAAAATATTATATTTATAATTTATAATTATTTTTTTATAATTATTTAATATTATTATTTATTTTTTAAAAGAAAAAATATACATAATTCTTTTTTAATTAAACAAAAAAAAAGTATAATTTTTTTATTTTAATTAAAAAACCACATTAAATATCTTTTTAAACATATAAAAAAATATAATAATGAAAAAATAAGTTTTTAAAAATGCATACACAGGAAAATGGTTAAAATTTTTATACGTAGATTATGAAAATAAAGGCAAATTGATAAAAAATTACGAAATAATACAAAGAGTATCAAATAATAATGATTAAGATAATTTAACTTTAGGTAAAACACATGGAGTTTCTGTATATCCAATCATAGATAATAAAAAGTTAATAGTAATAGCAAATTTTAGAATTCCAGTTAATAAATATGTATTAGAAATTCCTTCAGGTCTTCTTGAAAGTTAAGATTATTTATAAGAAGGTTTAAGAGAATTAAAAGAAGAAACCGGATATTTGGGATAAAAAGAAATTAATATATTAAATGGAGAAGAATAGCCTTTTTATTACATCGATCCATGGAAAAGTAACGAAAGTGGAAGGCTGATGTTAATACATATTGATTAATCAGAAAATGGTAATATTTAAACAGATTTGGAAGATGCAGGAGATATAAATGTTCACATTTAGATTTGAATTAAAGATTGGGAGAAGATTTAATTAAATTAGCAAACGAAAATAATTATGGAATATCAAAATAACTTTGGTCCTTTGTTTGTGGTTATTCTTTTGCATATACTAATTTTTGATAAAAAAATGTATATATTTTTAAATTTTAAAGATTTTTTTTTTTGATAAATATTTATATTTAATAAATAATATTTTTAAAGAAAAAAAATGTTTTTTTTTTTTTTTTTCTAGTTTAAATAAAAATTAACTCCATTAGATTTTCCAGTTTTATTATAATGTATTTGCCTATATAAATTAACAGGATTTTAATTAAAGATTTTATCTTAAAAATTATTCGTATATTTTTATTATGAATAATTGTTTTAGTTTTATATAATATTATGTCTGTTATTATTTTTATATTTAACATCATAATACTTATACAATTATTAAACATCTAGACTTTAATTATTTAAATTTTAATTATGTATAGAATATGAGTGAATTGATTAATTATTTATATTATTTTTTTCTTTTATTTAAATTAATGGACTTTATTAAAGTGCAGTTTTTATATTTTTCGAAGACATGTGATATTAATTACGTTATTTTACTTCTTTTGTTTTTTGATTTTTATTATTATTATTATTATTTATTTCATAAAAATTGTTAATTGTTATACTTTTTTAATTAATTGAATTATTAAAAGTCATATTTTTTTAAAATTAATTATTTCTTCTTAACCATTCTGTATTATATACTCCTTACCCTTTCCTTTACATTATTTTACTTAAGTTATTATATATTTATGATGTTTAAATATATTTTCTCTTTCCTCCATCTTAAAAAATTTGATTACCTTTACTTTCTTTACTTTATTATCTTTAATTTTATAATTCTTACTATATTGTATCATTTTATTTTCTTATTATATGCTTTGCAGGATTAAATGCTTTATAAGGATCTTCTACGCAAAATATTGTCTCTCTACCTAAAGAAGCCATTTACTTATTTATTTTTATTTATAATAAAAATTTTATTATTTAATATTTTTATTTTAAAAAGTATATATATATATTTTTTCTTAATAGAAATTTTTTTATACATTAAAATTTTTAAAGTTAAAAGTTTTTGTTTAAAATAAATTTTACTTTATATTTTTTTTTTTTAATAATAAATGAATTCAATAAAAATGCTAAATATTAAGATATTAAAATAAATATTTTAATTGATAAAAAATTATATGAAATCGAAAAACAATTTTATAATAAATATGATATCATTTAATTTATAAAATAAAAATTATTTATTTTAAAAAGTAAATTAAGTGACTAATATAGAATTTATTATATTTAAAATGAGTTGCTTTAAATCAATGAAGCATATAAAAGCATTAAATGAAAAATTATTTTCATAAATATATTTCATAAAATATGTTGCGAAAATTAAACTAAATTGATTATTAAAATAATCACTGAGCCTATAATAAAAATTTATAAAAGATAATAATTCAAAAAAAATGATTTCAAACATAATAATAAAAATAATGAAATACGGAGTTATAAAATTAAGAAAAAAAATTATTTATATCTTATTAAAAACTCTTTGTTTTAATAATTTTTTAGTTTTTAACATACATATTCAATTTGTATATTTTTTAAATAAATTAATTTTGGTCAAAAAAATAATTAATATTAATAAAAATAAAATATTATTAAATTATATTAAATTTTAAATTATTTTGAAAATAATATAAAGTTTAACCAATTATAAACTAATTAAAAAAAAATGAATAAAATAATATATAAAAATATATAGATATAGTTAAGAAATTTTATAAAAATAATACAATAATATAATAAAATTAATTTATTTTTTCAATATATATTTTATATAAAATTATTTTTCAATGATCAATTTTTATTGTTTATTTTTATAAAATAATTTAATTACTTTTTAATTGACAATAAAATTTCTTTTTAACTTATAAATTAATACTATTATATTTCATAGCTTATAAATAATCATTATTTTATATAATATTTTAAGACTTAGTATATAAACTATTAAATCTTCCTCTATCTTATTTTTTAATTTTCCTTAATTTATTAAGCAAATCTTCATAATTATTATTTAAGCAATAACTATAATCTATTAAATGTTTTTTATTAGATGAATGTTAATTATTTTAATTTAAATTTTTGCATTATTATACATCTATATCATCATTATTTTAAATATCTGTTTTTTGTAAATAATCTAAACCTATTTAATTAATAATTCCTCCAGTTTCATTCATCAATTATTTAACTTTTCTAATAAATATGCTATCCTATTTAAAATAAAATAACCTTTCCATCAAAAGTTATATATTTTTATTTAAAGAAGAATTATTTAGCATTTATGCTATTTCATCCTCATTTAAATTTTATAAATCGATTTCTCCAAATACTTCATCCAAGTTTTTATTTTATGGAATTATTATTTTATGAAAAGTGAAGATTCTTTTAATTTATTTTATTTATATAAAAATTGATTTTTTAAGATTTATTTTAAAGTTTTACTTTGTCTTACATATATCTCTTTTTTGGATCAAAAATTACTTATAATATTTTATATATACCTTATAAATTCAAAAGATTATTTTCATTTGATTCTTCGAAACCTTTTATTGCACCTTAGACTTATGCTATCTAATTTTAATCTTATATATAAAAAATAAATAAATATTTATTTTATTCTAAAAAAATAAATAATTACAAACAAATATATTATATTAAGTTTCTTAATCAATAGTTTATTATTTTAGATTTTTTATATAAGTATTGATTTCAATTTTAAGTTCTCTTAGAGTAAAGTTTCTCCTTTTTTAATATTCTTACTCTTGTTATAATTTAAATTTTCTGAAATTATCAATATCTTCATTTAATTATCTCATTTTTTAATTTTCTTCGATTTCTTTTTATTTTTATTGTAATTCTCTTTATTTTTGTTCTTCGTTTTCTTTAATATATTCTAAATTTTGTTAACTTTTTCTATTTTTTTATTTTTTTTTTTTATTATTTTCATCTATTTCTAAATTTTCATTCACAGTTTTTACATTTTCTGCTCTTTAATCATTTACATTATGAAAATTTACTTATTTATTTTTTTAATTATCTTTTTAATCTAATGATTAAATTTAAGAATTTTTAGATTTATTTATATTAGAAAGTTAATTATTACTTGTTTGATTATTATTTAAATCAAGTATATCTATATCTTATTTTGATTTAATATTTTAATTATTATTTTATTAACGTTTTTTATTTTTTTTAATTGATATATTTATCAGTGTATTAGTTTCTTTCTTTTAATTATTTTATTAATTTAATTCTATATTTCCCCCAGATAAAATACTTGAAAATGATTATAAACTATTTTTTTAATTTTAATTTTAATTAGGTGAGCCAATTTTTTTTTTTTAATTTTAATTATGTTCGACAAATTCGTTTTTTTATTATTTTCCTTTTATTTATTTATCTTTAAATTATTTCTAATTTGTATCTATTTAACTAATATTATTTAAAGTAACTATATTTTTATTTATTAAATTTATATTTATATTTTAAAAATCTATTTTATTTACTTTGGTTAGTTTATTGTTATATTTTATTATAACTTTCATTTTAATTATCTAAATTTTATTTAATATCATCATCATCTTACAATGTTTTCTAATTTTTATTATATTAATCTTTTTTAAAAACTAATATAAATTAAATTAAAATTAAATAAAATAATATAATATAAGTTTATATAAAATAAAATTAAATACAATTAAATAAAATTAATTTATATTATATAAAATAAATATGTTTTTTTAAAAAGTCATACATCCTTTACTATTATTGTTTTATAAATTTGTATTATCATATCCTGAACCTTTTTCACTTTTTGAGATTTAATCATTATTAATATTGGGATTTTGATTATTAAATGTATCACTATTAGGATCATCTTTATAATTAATAATTTGATTTTGATTTTTTTTATTATTTTATTTTAATATATCATTTTAATTATTTTCGTCAAAAAGATATTCTTAATATTGACCTTACTATCTTTTTTTATTCTTTCTTTTACTATTTAAAGTCATATTCATATTATCATAATTATCATAATTATCATTTTAATAATTTTTAGATCTATTAAAATCGTATTCATTATTAAATGTTCTACTCTATTTAGATTAAAGTATGATTTCTTAGAAAAGATTTTTATTTCTAAGCCGTTATTTTTTTAGCGTATCATCCATTTCAATAAAACTTAAATCTAAATCTTTATCTACAGACTCTATTTCTAACTTTTTAGTTATTAATTCTATATCAGTATCTTTTAAATCAACTTTTTATTACTCAAGTTTTTTTAATGATATCTAGAATTTATTTATATTAATAAGATTTATAAAAATATTTATATATTTTTTACTCCACTATTAGAATGCTAATTTTAATGAATAATACTAACAGAATTTTTATTTTTGTTATTTTATTCTCTGTCATCAAATTATTTTTAATTATTTATAATTTATAATTTTTATCTTTTCTTTCTATATTAATCATTTTATTTTTTAATTGCTTGTTATAATTATTTTATTTATTATTTTTCTTTTATTTAAACTAAATTATTTTAAGATTAATCTATTTTTTATTTTTAAGAGGCATTTTAATTATTTGGTATTTCTTATTATTGATTTTACAATATATTATTAGTTTAATTTTTATTTTTAGTATAATAAGTTTAATTTATTTGTTTATTTTCATCTAAATTATTATTTATTTATTATTATATCTTTTTTATTGGTATAAACATCTCTAATTTCTATTTAATAGTTAATGTATTTTAAATTTATTTTTTTTCTTATTTTTAAGACATTGTTTCGTTTTATATATCTGTTAATTCTTATTAATTTTATTATTAAATTAAATCAATATAAAATTCATTATTCCTTTGATCAGAAATTTATTAATTTTCTTATTTGTAGTTTGATTAACTTTAGTTATTTTCATTTAAGTTTTTTATATTTTAATCCAGATTTTAGTTTATTTTTAAATTTATATTTTAGTTTAAATCTTAACTAATTTTTTAGTTTGACACTTAATTTATATTTTAACTTGTATATTAGTTTTTTATTATTTATTTTTCTAATTGTTTTATTTATTTTAATAAATATTATTTCTTTTATTAATTTAAGTTTTTATTTTAACTTTAAAATATATTTTAATATTAAGAATTTTTTTCTTCTTCTGATAATTAATTCATTTATTAAAATAGTTCCATTATTTTTTTTTTATTTATTTATACTTAATAATTATTTTTTAATTGTTACTTTGATAAATCCTCCTCATTATTTAAATAAATTTATTATTCTAATTATTCTATTTATTTAAATAATTAATTTTTATCTTAAATATTAAATTATTCTGTTTAAATTTAATCAATTTATTATTATTAATTATTCTGATTTTAAACTGTTTTTTATTATAATAATTATACTTATTAAATTAATTTAATTATTCTTAAATTATTTTATATATTTTCTCCTTCATTTTAGTAATTTTATACAATATTAGTTTCATTTTAACATATTATCTATTTTAGTTATTAAATTTTTTCAATTAATTAATTTTAATTTTAATTTTTTTATTTTTCTTCTAATTATTATTAATATTCTTTCTAATATAATTCATCCAAAATTTAACTAACTTCATCTTCTTAATAAACTTTAATATCGTTATTTTTTCTATTAGTTTTATTATTCTTTCTCTGTATCATTTAAAATTTTATTTTATTTTAATTATGCATATAATTAGATTATTCTTCATTATTTTCCTCTATTTAATCGTCTTCATCATTTTTATAATCTTCTAATTATTTTTCACTTTAAAATTATTATTCAATTTATTAAACTTATCTATTATCTATATTTTAATTTTGCTTATGTTTTATTTATTATTTCTAGTCTATCTTATTCAAAAATTCTAAAATTTTTTTTGAATTATTTTATTCTTAAAAACTTCTAATTTTATATTTATTTTCATATATCATTATTTCTGTTTTATCTGCTTAGGAATGTAAAGAAAAATTTTTTTTTTGAACTAGTATTTTTTATTCATCTTAACTATTCATATAATATTATGTTTTATTACCATCTATAATGTTTGTTTTTTAACATATTTGTGAAATTTGACTTATATTTTATTTTTCATTATTAGTTTAATCTGTTATTAAATCTAAAAAATTAGAATTATTTTTTATTATACTAGATTATTCATTCAAATTAGAATTAATTCTTGTACTTTAATTTATTTCTCCCTTAAAATAACTCTTTATATATTATTTATTATAATAATAAAAAAAATATATTTAAAATTTATTTTTTTAACTTATTATTATTATTGCAATTATTCTAAATTTTACAATTATTTTTTATAATTATTTAGGTTTTTGTTTTTTTTTTATCATTAATTTAATAAGATTTGTTCTTACTTTCAAAATATTTTTTTAAAGTAAAATATTATTTTCAGTTAAAGTCTCAAGAGAACTTTAGAAAAATTATGTTTTGTTATTTTATAATTTATCTCTTATATTTTTTTTTATTTAAACTAAATTTAATACTTCAAGATTTCTTTCTATTTCTTATAATTTTTATTTTCTATTTTCTATAATTTCTATATAAATAAAATTAAAAAATAAAAATAATATCAAAATTATTTACTTTTAAATTATATATAATCTTCATATGATAATATATTTATTCCATATTTTATTGTTTATTATAAAATTTATTAAATAAAAATTTCTTCTATAACGCATTAATTATAAGTATCAGGTTAATAAGGTAAATATTATAAATCTAAATTAATTATATTTAATTTTTCTTAAAATCGCTTTTAAATTTAATTATATAAAGATATTTTTTTAGTATTGTCAATATTTTTAAATGAATCTTATTTCTCTTAAACATTAGTTAAATCATATAACTTAATTATGTTAAAATAAAGGCTCAAATCAATTAAGCTTTTTTTTATAACTAATTATTGCACTTTTTTATTATTTTCCTGCTTGTTTTTTAGGTGATATTGTTTTCTCACTTTTTTCGATTAATTATTAATTCTAATATTAATCGATAATTTAATTTTCTTCAGCAATTTTTGTTAATTTATCTTTTCTTTCTTATTTTATCTTTTTTAGTTTATATGCATTTGTAATATACATTCTATAATAATGTTAATATAAGTCAACATTTTCTTTGTTTTAAAACCTTTTTTTAATTTATATATAAAATTAGATAATTAATAAAAACAAAACCTAATTAATGTCTCTAAATAAAATCTTGATTATTTCTTTTAAGTAAAGAATGATTTTTATCGTCTATTCTTTTTATTGATTTTCTTTATTTTTTTTATTTCAAAAATATTTAGGTATTCATTTCTCTAAAAGATTTTACAATAGGAGGCATCACGATATTTTTTAATTAATTATTGAATTCTAAAAAAAATAAAAATAAAAATAAAATACTTATATAAATAATTACATAATCCATCCAAACTTTAACAATTTTTTTTTTTATAATTGAAAAATAATTAATAATATTATTTTAATTAATTATTTTATGGATTTGTGGTAATTTAAAACTATGCAAATTACCTAAAAACATATCAGGTTGACTTTAATATTATTAATATCTACCTTTATAATTAATAGTTTATAATTAAGCGTCTTTCATTTAATATAAATTCATTTAAATATGTTTAAAATAAAAATTTTTGACAAAAAGGTATTATTTTATTTATTTAATATAAAATTTATTAATTTAATTTAATAAAATATTTATATAAATATTTTTATTTAATTATTAAAATTAAAAACCACATATATTAAAATTAATTAATATATAAATAAAAATTAAATTAATAAACTAAATTTGAACAAATGTTTTAAAAATAAAACAAAACATAATCTTTAAATAAAATTAATTTAGAAAAAAAATGTTTGAATATATATATATATATATATAGATAAGAAAACATGAACTATTCATTATTGCTTTTTTATAAAATTATTAGTTTTTTTTTAAATAAAATATTATATTTATTTTAAAAAAAAAATAGTGTAAAAATAAAATAATAATATCAAAATTTTTAAAAAATTATAATATAGTATTATCAAAAAAATAAACTTTTATCTTTATATTAAAAATATTTATACTATATCAACAAAGGCAAAATTAAAAAATCATTAATAATAAAAATACATAAAAATAGAATGAGTAAACCACAAAACCCATACTTAGATTTAATGGAATTACGTCGTTCAAAATCGATTGAAAGTCCTTAAGGAGTATTTGATAATTAATTAAGCAAAATATAATCAATAATAATAAACCATCCTCAAGAAACCTAATCTGAGTAAGACTTTCAAACTAATTCTCGAAAAATAATATACAAAGATTAAATATTCGACAAATATCTATTAAGTCCAATCGAAAAATATGAAAAATATGGTCGTTTTCCATACAAGCTAATAGTTCATATAAGCATTGTAATTTTAACCACATTTTAAATTATATATTCTTCAAATAATTTGACAACAAATTCCACTGAGTAGAATTAAGCCTGGCGTTAATTATTTTTTGGAAAAAACTATAGCATGAACATTAAAAATTCTGATAATGAAAGCTAATTGGTTTATTTTGATACATTACCTTAGTTTTCGAAGCATTTATAAAATTTGTTTTCTAATATAAATTTATCTAATGATAATAGAATATAAGATTATTATTTTAACTATACATCTTCAAATTTTTAAGTATATTATAATTACCCATTAAATTTTACTGAATTCGAAAATAAAAAACAATTTAAATATAATGTAGATTTAAAAGTAGGTATTCTATAACCATTTAATTAATCCAATACTTTAGAAATAAAGCAAATTTTAAAACAGGCCAAATTTTATGAACTTTCTATAAACGATGTCATTTTAGCAAAATATAATGTTATTTCGTGTTGGAATTTTTTACTTTAATATTCTTTACATTCCAAAAATGTTATTAAAGCTAACCTTATTTCCGATGGGGGTCCATGTAATTAATAATTGTATGAAGAAGGTATAAAAATGTAAGGAAAAGATTATATGAGCTAATATTTTTAAATAGATTTAGTATAACCTAGTAATTTATTATATACAGGATATAATACTACTGTAAATATTTTATCTTTATTATGTTCTTTTTATTCAGTAATATTATGTTACAAATACATATTATAGATAATGAATATTTATATAGAAATATAAGAAAATTCTTAAAGATAATATTTAAAAAGCTACTCTACAGAATATTTGGAAACGAAAAAAATTATGAGTAGAAAACGATATAATTTGTTGAGAATTCTCACTGAATAAAAATAATGGCATGAACTTACATTTTATTAAAAATTACAATATTTTGATGGATGGTATTTCATTATTTTAGTAGGAAATTTTTTTCAAATTATAGGCAGTATGTTCTTATTAACTCTAACTAATTAAAAATCAGATTTTTATTAATCAATTTAAATTATAGATTGGACGATTGGACTTGGAGCATTTTGTGCATGGATTTCTCTTTTAAAATATCTAGAATATAGCCAAAAAGCTTCGATAAATTTAGATGTTATTTTATTCTCTTTACCTTAAATATTTGCTATTTTAGTAGAGTTTATACCTGTTTTTATGGTTTTCGTTATAGTAGGACTTACATGTTTTTCAAAATGTGAATTATTCTCAGATACAAGATCAGCTATTGTAAAAATAAAATAATATATATATATATATATATATATATATATATATATATATATATATATATATATATATATATATATATATATTTTATTATTTATATTTTTAAGATTACTTTAATTAGTTTAATATATATGGATTCTATATATTATGATATTTAATATATGTAAAGTAATAGTATAATACCATTTTTCGCTACTTTTTATGTAGTCTTTTATATTTTGGCTTTTTAGTTTTGTGTAAATAATGTACTTATAGGCGCATTATATGATAGTTTTATTATTCGAAATAATTAGAAATAAATCGAAAAATAAATTATATAAATTCCCAATCCACATGATAGGATGAACTTTACTTAAAATATTACAAAAAGTGAAACATTGAGGGCTATATCACCTCCTACAGCAAATTTCACTGGAGAAGGAACACCTGATAAAATTAAGGATTAAAAGAATAAATAAAAATAATTTTTCAAGATGTTTTAGAACACTGCCAAAGCTATTTCAAGAGCAAAAAAAGTAAGAGAATAAAAAAAAAAAGAATAAGAATAAATTTAAAAAGAAAATTATATTTAAGAAGAGTTTGAAATTAACTATGATATCAATGAAAATCATAATTAGAATTCTTTTTAAAATTTGGATAGTGTATATAAGAGTTAATTTAGGAGATAATAAATTAAATAAGAAATAAATATTATTTAGTAATCTGCTGTTTCTGTTGTTGAAATAGAAAACGAATTATAAAGTACTTTTAAATAATTAAATGCTTTATTAGAGGATTCTAAAATTGCTACTAAAAATCTTAATTTAAAACTGATCAAACTTGATTTTAAGTAGTAATAGGATATTATAAAATAATATATTAAATATTTAACATAATATAAATAACAAATTAAAAAAATGATTTCTAAATGAAGTGAAGAAATAAGTAGTTTTAAATTTGACTATTATTTTCGTCTTTATTAATAAAAAAAAAAAGTTTTATAATTTATTATAATTTTTTTTTTTATTTATATAAAATTATATATTTATAGCATATATTAGTTTGAGACATGTTTATATTTTAAAAACATAAATTTTATAAATTAATACATTTAAAATATATACAATATATTATATATTAATAAATAGATTCTTAAAAACAATCTCTTAATAACTAATATAATAAATGAATATTAATACAAATTAAATTTGTTATTAAATAAAATTAATAATAAAAATATAAAAATAAAAACAAAATGAAATATAATTTCTAATCACAATTTAGATTACGCATAATGATCACTAGAAGAAGAAAAAAAACTAATGGAATTATGCATCAAATGATCTAGACTTAATTATAGTTAAAGTTCTTTATCATCTTTTACACTTAAGAAAATCAAAATAAACTATTTATAAAAAATTATAAAATGTATATTTATATATATATATATATATAATTTATTTTATATATTTTTTTTATTATTTTTATTTAATACTTTGAATATTAATAAAATGCTTGTTATTATTATTGTATATATATAGACTCCATGTTCCCATTATAAATTATCTTTAAATACGCTTAAAGAACTTGACCAATAAATAATCCATATAAAATCAACCAATTAACTAAATAAAATTAAATATAAAATTCTTAGTTTCTCATATCTTTTTTAAAATACCTATTTTATTATTTAAAACTTTTAATAATTATATATATTCTTTGTACATCTAAATTCCATGCTAAATAAGCAAATATAAATATAGGTAGATTATAATCTGCACGTGCCAAACAATTTATTGCTGCTATACCTGCACCGACTAAAAATAATTTTTATATAATACTATTTTATTCACTACTTTACATTTTATTTTAGTTATTTTATTTTTTTGTTATTTAAAAGTAATTTTTTTGTTTTTAAAATTATTTTATTAAAATAAAATATTAATATGTTTTTTGTTATTTTATTTTATTTATATTTTCAAATATATTAATTTTGTAAAAAAATTTTTTAAATACAAAAATAAGTAATATGTTTAAATTTTTACAATATATTTTATTTTTAAAAATTAAATAAAAAATTTAATATAAATATTAAAAAAAAAAAGAATTTATAAATATCATTAATTATTATTTAAGGCTATTGTAATTTTTCTATTTACTTCTTCTTTATTTTTTTCATCATTATTATATTAGTTTTCATCTTTTTATTTTATATTTATAGAAGGATTATTTTAAACTAAATATATAACTTATTTCTTTTAAATTTATTTATAAAAAAATAATTATTTATCATCAAGTAATTCAATTAAATTGCTATCTCTTATATCTTATATATATTTTTATTCACTAGAATCTTCAGCTTTAATAAAAAACTATAAGTATTTAGACTATGTTCCAATAATCATTTCAACTTATGCTTTTAATGAACTAATATAATCATCTTTAAATACTAAGATTACTAGATTTTTACCACTTTCAGTAATAAATTTTAATTTTAATTATTTTGTATTTATATCTTTATCATAGTTTTTATGACGTTAAAAAGATCCACACCCCATTTAAGTATTTTATTGTTAATAATTAAAAAAATAGCGAAGTATAAAGGCAGATTTTTTATATTTTTATAGTAATTAATTTTAAATAATTTGGTATTGTAAAAAATAATAAATTGTATTTTTATAATAAATATATAGAAAATAATATAAATTTATTCATAAATAAAATATATTTTATTATATAATAAATAAAAATATATTATTATATTTTATAAATAATATTTTATTTTATTATATATAATAACAATTATTTTTTTTAAGATTTGTTTTTTTTAAAAAATATATATATATATATATATATATATATATATATATATATTATAAAATTTTCTAATATTTATAAATATCATTATTTATAATAAAAACTAAAAGTATTACTAATAAATATTTACATATATAAATTTTTGTTAATTTTCAATTAATAAATATATTTTTAATCTAAAGTAATTAAAAAAGTTATTAATTATTGTTTTAATAATTTAAAACTCTGTACTTTTATTTTAAAAAGTATTTCTATATATAAATAATATATATATTTATTTATATTAATTTTATAATAATTAAAGAAATCAATTATTAAATAGCATATTTAATTAATTTGATTAAAATAAAAAATAAATTAGTAAAATTAAAAGAAAGAAAATTAATGTAAGATTTAAAATTTCAGATTTTACATAAAAAGAGATTTTTTAGATAACAAATTCGTAATCAAAGAATAGAAAAAGATTTTTAGAAAAAAAGAATTTAACTATTATCTCCATAAGAACAATTAGAGCTAGATGTTGAAATTAATTAAATAATATCATAAATAAATATTGCCTATTTATCGAAAGACTAATAATCTTTGATAAATTTATTAAATTAAGAATATACAGATGAAATTCATTTTATTTAAAAAACATTTTTTTTATATTAAATATACTAAGTGATTAGAATTTCTCATTAGAAAAATTACAAAAAATATGTACAAAATTAATCACAAAATATATTTAAAAAGATAAAATAATAAATATATAAGTAATAATATCATAAAATATAATATAGAAACTTAAATTTTTAATATAAAATAGTAGCATGTCATGTAGAATATTAAAATAAGTAATAAAAAAAAACTTTAATATTAATTAAAAAAAAATGATTTTAGATATGGATATTATTAAATGCAATAAGCGAAAAGTACTAAGAAATACTAATAAATTAAGAATTTATAGATATGATAGAATCAACAAATAAAAAAATGAAAGATAATAATTAAATATATGATTCTGTAATATAATAAATGCTTATTTTTATATAAAATTAAGGGCCGAAAATACATTAAATTTCAATAAAAAACCTTAAATATATATTAATATTATTATCAAATATTTTAGAAATAGGAGAATTATCATATGCTAAAATAATAATGGAGTTTTGTATAAAAGTGTTTACGGAAGAATTTTCTTTTGAAATATTTTAATTGTTTCTAGAAACAAAAATTATTATGAAAATAATTGATGCAATCATATAACATTAATAATTATATTTAAAAGCAAGTTATTTATTTATTGAGTTTTCCATATTAAATGAATAATGCATAAAAGTAAGATTTTATTTACTTTTTATAAAAAATAAATATTAAAAATAAAGATTTTAATAAAAGAAAATTTTCTTATTCCAATATTTTTAATGGCAAATCAAAATAACCTATAAATAAAATTAAATAGTATATTAATTTTATATAACTTATTTATTTCAGGAGAAGAAATAATAGAAGAATGCCAAAATACTCTTCTAGATGTATAAATATTAGTCTTATTAGAAAAGTAAGAAGAGCATATTTCTATAAAAAAAGAATGTATTAAAGCTTTAGCAGCTCGATTATAAAATTGTAATGAAAATTAACTTGAATAATTTATAAATAAAGATTTAATAAATACTTTGTGTATTATTTTAAAAACATGCACTTTTGAATTAAATGAGGAAGAAATTTATTGCCTATTATCAAGTTTTTAGTGTTTACTTGAATTTGGAGAAAATATAGTTAATAAATAGGAACAATAAGTTTATGAAAGTAATCCTTTTTGGATCATTATAGAAAAATAAGATTGTGTACATTTGTTTGAAAAAATTTAATAAAAAAAGTTTTCTAAAGAATATGATTAGTAAATATATTAATTACTAAACGATATTTAATAAATATATAGTTGGAAAAATATTGATTAAATTTGAATATATTAAATATTCCTCTATTTTTATTTTTATAAAAAAAATGTTTTTATATTTTTAAAATATATAATATTGTAAAGAAATATATATGAATTTTTTAAAAATTCTTGTAATAAAAATATTAAAAATTTGATTAATAAAAAAAATAATTTATATGTAATATTATTTTGATTATATATAAATAATAATCATATCTTTACTTTTATTTTAGTAAATAATAATTGATAAACTTTAAATTAATTATACTTAATTTAAATAGTTTAATTATTTTTATAAAAATATAATTTGAAAAATATGGAATAAATAATTAATATAAGAAATTATTATTAAAGATAAATTAAATATATATATATTTATGTATATATATATATATATAAAATTATTTTTATAATATATTTTTTTTATTTTTTTAAATCTTATA